TATAACTCTGCAACTCTACCCAAGTTACTTAGTTTTTAAGCCTCACGGCCTGGTACACAGTAGTTAATATAGGGTTGCCATTATTAACGTTATTACTCTCTCTCTGATTATGCCTATGACATAGAATGCTTAAAGTCTTATACAGTCCCAAATTACATACTTTTAAAAGTGATTTTTCCCCATCTCCCCATACAGCTTTCAATCAACCTCTCAAGGAATGAAAAGAACCACCTATTTTTCACTAAAAGGTCAACATGTTTTCAATCTCTTGTGCCATTTAAAGAACCCACATGAAGGTGAACACAAGTTCTAATAAAGTTTTATCTATTTATTGATATTTATAAATATCATCTACTAAATGTTATTTATGGTAGTTTTGCAAACAGTCCATTCATCAACTTCAAAAAAACAAGAAAAGCATGTGATCAAAAACGAAGCAAAATAAAAAATTTCAGTATCATCTATCAAGTATTCAATTATCTAAAACAAAGAACTGCCTCACAGTGCTGACAAAAAACATCTGAAGACCATCTGTTAAAGCAAATAAACTTAATTCATATGAAACTTCCAAAACTCTCATCTCTGAACCATTGTTCTTTACTTGTGACTCAAGTTTAGTTACTTGAGTATCTTAGACACTAGCAAAAAAAAAAACGTGAGATTCACTTCTAGAGAAAGATGAAGAGCTGATAGCAAAATAACAAAATACGAAACAGGTCTATAAAAAGATTCTCAACCGAGTCTGCCAGGGCAGTTTTTTTCCCAAAGAAAATATACCAAATTGATAATATTAGATGACAGAAAAGGGAGTAAGCATTAGAGAAATTTCTTTTACAACTCAACAACTATTTCAATTCCATAAAGAAATGGATATTGATAGTTCAGGGAGTATATAAGTTTCTTAAGAAAGGACAGGGCAGGGGAAATAAATGTTGCTAAATTTTTAAAAATCATTTATAAATCAGTTTATTGGTCATTATTATTAAACATTCATAATAAAATTAACATATGACAACCATTTGTAAATGTTTATTACAGATACTATTTCATGAATTCAAAAGTATAAGGTATTAACATTTGGATTTGTTTTAGGAATGACAGAAAAATTATTCCAATATTTAAGAGAAGGCTATCTTCCATTTTACTGAATTACCTTTCCTGTTTAAGAGCATACTCCAGCATTTTGATCCTCCTCACAAGATCCTTCTTCAGATTTTCTTGACCTTTCCTTTCACCTTGAAGGAAGGCAATCTGGGCCTGAGCAGGGAAAAGAAAGATGAAACTCAGTTTAGCCCAACTAAACTTTTTTTAAACTTAGTTGAAGAAAGAACCTCTGGAAGATAAGACAATTAGATGCAAAAACATTTCCTTCACATATCCATCACAAAGTATACAAGTATATAGAAAGGCATTGAGTACAAGGGGAAAAAGAAGGCTTAATAATTTTTTTTAAAAGTACATCTACATGTATTTTATTTTAGACTAGGGATGTTACAATGTGTAGGCCATGTCCTCTAAGAGTCTATAATCTAAAACAACCAATATAAATGCAGACATAGCAAAGTGCACAGTATAGTTTGCTCAGGGGTTTGCCTTTGAAGGTATTGAGAGGGTTTCTCTTTTATAAAGAGTGAAGATAGGGAAAGGGGCGAAAAGTGAAATCATGAGTTCTTATAACACGCTTGCAAAGTAAGAGTTCTCAGAGCTTCACTATATATTTAACTTTTATAATGGATTCCTTGTCTTGAGAGACCTTATCCTGGACCTCCCCTACAAACAATAAACAGCTGCCTTTTTAGAATCCCCACCTTTCACTCCATCTCCTTTTAGAAGATTTAATATGCAGGAAAAAAGAAAGTGAAAGTTGGAAAAAGGAAAATCAGAGACAATGGGGGGGGCCCTTCTTAGGTTCCTGGCCTCTCCAAAGAACTACTAAAGGAAAAAAACCCCTACATTTTAACGAAACAAACAGTAAAATTCTTGTCTTCAGTAAACAGAGGGGCTAGGAAAAAGCTGCTTTCCAGAATAATTAAAAAGACATTTAGAGCTGACATAGTATCTTCCATGAATTGAAACTATGTTGCAAACACTAACTTGTTAAAGTAACTCATAATGCCACTAATAGGGCAGAAGGTCTATTTAAGGGCCCTCAAGGATTTCAATTTTCACTATTTCTCAGATGCTTTCCCCTCTCGTTTCTATTATATTAACCCAGATAACAACGTTATTTATATTTCCACAGTACTTGACATTTAAGTAAGCAAGAATTTACATTTAATGATGACCTTACCACATCCCTAAGAAATTGTGGATTGTCCAACTAAGGTTTAGTGAGTGAGCCATTAAACTTATTTCTACTTAGTTTGAATGACACTCATTTCTTATTTTTTCATTACCACAATGAACATCAAATCCAACTCACCAAGTTTCTTAAAACTTTCAAGATGTTGGTACTGTTATGTTTTTGTTTTCATTTCAATGACCTCTTAAGACTTACATTGCAATTACAAGAAAGATTCTTTTTACCTTAGTGAAATAATTAAAAACAACCTAAAAACAATCCAATATAAGGAAAAGGCATCAAATATCTACACTATCTATACTTAATGATCATAAAACCTTTTGAAATTATATATTCTGCAATGAGATCATTATTTCATATAGGCAGAATAATAATACATGCATTTAAAGAGGACAAAAATGAAATTCTTGTGCAAAGGATATGACAGCCCAACTTGTTTGGCCAAACAATGCTTTGGCATAGAATTCTATACACTCTTCAAAATGGCTTTACTAAAAATAATAATCTAATCTGTATAATCATATAAATCAAAGTAATAATAAAATCAATTATCAATTTCTTCCTCTCTATACCCTTTGGCTAATTTTTTATTTCTGCCACTATCATTGATCCTGAATGATTCTGAAACTTCCAAGGGAAGACTATTTCAGCCTTTAGTCTCTTGAAGGAGACTCAAAAGACATGAAAACCAAACATAATGCATGATTCTGGACTGGATTTGGCTATAAAAGGACGTTATTGGGACAACTGGTGAAACATGAATGGGGATTAGATAGTAATAACATATCTGTTAATTTGTTGATTTTGATGGCTATATGTGGTTATATAGGATAGTACTTATTTATAGGAAATAAACACAAAAGTATCTGGTAGGAGGCAATGGGCCATCAGGTTGGCCGGCAACTTGCCCTCAAATGGTTCAGGAAAAATAAATTCTTTGTACTGCCCTTGTAACTTTTCTGTCAATATATGATTACAAAAAATTTTTTAAATGAAACAAACACTATACCAACTTCCTTAATATGATAAGGAATTAAATTCCTTCTGTAAAAATAACCTGAGTCTAAAACGTAATAACTGGTATATAAATCTTTACCCTTTCAAAATAAAGATTAAACCCCAGGTAAAGATTCTCCTAATATGAAAGGATATTGTTGTCTGAGTTAGGTTAACTGAAAAGGCAGGGGGAAGAGGGGAAACAGAAGGGAAGAAAAGACTGAAAGAAAGAATGGAAGGGAAGGAAGAAAGGAGACAAGAAAGAAAGAAGGAAAAGAGAAGGAAAGTGGGATACATCTATATGAAGGAATACTATGCAGCTGTAAAAGGAAGCCAGTTCTAAATATATTGATATTGAATGATATACAAGATACATTAAATGAAAAAGAGCAAGACATAGAATAATACACGTAGTTTGCAACCATTTGGTTTTCTTAAGAAAAAAAAAAGGTAAATATATCATTATGCTGGTATATGTAGGTAATGTCTCTGGAATGATTCACAAGTATGTAGTAAGTGTGACTGTCTCCAAAGAAAGTAACTGGGTGGCTGGGAGGGAGAGAAACAGGAGTTAAACCTTCCTTTAAACGTACAGGTTCCCCCTCTTACCTTTTGAATGCTGTATCATGGGCATGTTACTATGCATAAGTCTCTTAATTGAAAAAATTAAAGACTTTTATAGCCAAACAAAACTCGTTCACCAGATCTGGCTCCACAAGCCACCAGTCTGTAGACTGACTCTGCCTTGGATATTTCAATCCGAACTCATTATTTTTACAAAGGAGAAAAAAAGAAGCACCAAGAGACTAAGTGGTTTGTATCCCTAAAGCGGATAGCACTCTCACAAATGAACCCAGGTAATATCCAAGACCCTGAATGAATCACTACTTGGAAAACTCAAGGCACACACCCAAAGTAGTGGGAGTACTAGCAACAAGGATGTGACAGAAAATGCATGGCCCAAAAGGCCGCTTAAAAGTTCTCCATGCACATCACTACAACAGAATTCCTTCTGAAATAAGGGAGACAGATCTCTAATTAGAGAGCAAACATATTCCTAGCCTCCAACATTGTCCAGGATTATGGAGTAGTGATGAATTCAGCTTTTTACTTTATAGGTATACTTCTCCATGTACCATTAAGCTACTAATTGACTACTTTTTTAGAAATATTGACTCTGCCTGTGCTAATGTCACCTCAAAATTCTCAGAGTGAACTCTCCTAAACTTCCCAGAGATATAGAAACAAAAGTGAGATTAAGATATGCAATTGAAATCTTAAGAAAAAACGAAAAACTAAAGAAATTCAATCTGATCAAGCAGATGAAGTATGAAAATAGCTTTCAAGTGTTACAAATAAAATATTTTTAAAAATTATAAGTCATCATACTTTCATTTATCTGTACAAGTAAACCTAATGGTAATGGCACATATTTTTGAAAAGCAAACTTTGGAATTATCTTCAAGGAAAATGAATGTTAAGATTTCCATGATGCTTTATAAGATTTTTACATTACATATCTAAAATTAGGCCTTCCAGAGACAGCCCCGATGGCCTGGGGGTTAAAGTTTGGCACACTCTGCTTTCCCAGCCTGGGTTCGGTACCATCTGTCAGTAGCCATGCTGTGGTGGCGGCTCATGCAGAAGAACTACAAGGACTTACAACTACGTACTGGAACTTTGGGAAGCGGTAAAAAAAAAGAGAGAGGAAGACTGGTAACAGATGTTAGCTCAGGGCGAATCTTTCCCAGTTAAAAAAAGAAAAGTTCAAAAAAAAGAAATATAATTAGGCCCTCCCATTTCCTAACCAATAGAAATAAAAAAGACAAAAACAACAGTAACTGGATATTTTATCATTTAAGTCTACACGGTAAATGGGAAATTTATTTTTGTATTATTTTCAATTCCAATTTGTCAAAAGGATATATATAAAGAATATAAATCTGCTATATCTAAGCAAGTTTATCTGCACACACAGGAATATCTAATAAACAAATTATTATGAGTGTACCATTTAATTTATTGAAACCATTTAAACTATGTTGTACTCTAAAATTAAAAAGGGTTAAAATTCAAAACTGAAATCACTGAAAAGTATATTCAAAAACAAAAATACACAAAATACTAGTTTGGGTTGGATACTTTTCAGTTGTATCTTGCTCATCTGTTTGGGAGGAAAAGAGTACTCACTTTTACAAAAATCTAACTAAATCAAGTACAAGAAAACTTGACTAATATAAGGTTCTCACTTTCAATTTTAATTTCAAACAAACTCACAAATAAAAGAAATACTTGAAAAGTAAAAGTTAGTAATATGGTTTACTGGGGCCGGCCCAGTGTTGTAGTGGTTAAGTTTGGTGTGCTCCACTTCAGCGGCCAGGGTTCACAGGTCCAGATTCAGGTGCGGACCTACACCACTCAAGCCATGCTGTGGTGGCGACCCACATACAAAATAGAGGAAGACTGGCACAGATGTGAGCTCAGAGCCAATCTTCCTCAAGCAAAAAGAAGAAGATTGGCGAGAGATGTTAGCTTAGGGCCAATCTTCATCACCAAAAAATAAAAAGACTGGCACAGATGTGAGCTCAGAGCCAATCTTCCTCAAGCAAAAAGAAGAAGATTGGCGAGAGATGTTAGCTTAGCGCCAATCTTCCTCACCAAAAAATAAAAATAAAAAATAATATGGTTTACCTAAGCTAAGTAATATCATATCATACAATGAAGTTTCAATAATCTGCTTTATACTTAATGCCTTCTTTTATAAACTACTCCTTTTCCCTCTGAAAAGCTTTAGATTACATTATTCTCTTAAATCTAGGCCACTAGTTGGTTTTCTCTGGCACATAATCATTGCCTCTAGCTAGCCCTCTCTCCTAGAGACAGCATCATCACTTGCTGACATCAAACGTGAGCATCAGAATCACCCAGAGGACTTGTTGAAACACAGATTGCTTGGGCCAGCCCCATCCTTGGTTTCTGATTCAACAGGTCTGGCAGGGGCCTGAGAATTTGCATTTCTAGCAAGTACCCAGGTGATGCTAACGCTACTATTCTGGGACAACACTTGGAGAACCACTGACCTACACTATCCGTGACACAGTTAGAAGGCCAAAAATAAAGCAAATATGCCACTAAAGAGCAAGGAACAGAGCTGTCCCAAAAGCCCAGCTCTTTACTCCACAGAAGTATGAAGTCTTATACAGGCCCTCAAGCTGACAGACGAGTACCCACTAGCTTTTCTGAATTTCTTCCAAATTCCTTATTTCTGACTGTATTTTTAGCAATCTCCTGATAAGAAAATAAAATTGACCATTTTTCATTCAGTTGAATCACGTCTTTGGGGAATATCCACTACCCCCTAACCCTGCCCAGCCCAAAGTGCTGTAAAGGAGAATATAGGAAAGACAAATAAAACCAATTTCCTTCTCACAATGCACTTCCAGTCTAGTTAGGGTACAAGGCTAGAATACATACGTATACAAAAAAACTAAGACAAGACAGTGAGTCCTCCTTATGAGGATTCGAGTTGTAAATGTCAGATATTCACATTTATTCACTTAACAATATTAACTGAGCACCTACTTTGTGCCAGGTGCAGTTATTGACCATAGGGCTAAAGTAGTGACAAAACAAATAAAGCAGAACTCAGAGTCCAGTGGATGAAACATGCATGCTGAATAAAACATATGTGGACCAGCAGCATATGTTATACGCAACTAGAACCAGAAACACAATTACAGGCAAAAGCACTGAATATAAAAATAAACACAAAATACAGTGGGATGCCTACTTAACTCTGGAGTCAAGTACAGAACTGATGCTCAACTCAAAAACTGTATTTTATACATATTCTATAGATAGCTTTATCTTTTAACAAACTAATGAGTTTCCTCCAATTTTCCTCATAAATAAAGTTTCTGTGCCATTATTTTACTTATTTATCTAACATACCTTTCAAAAAGAGATGAGGAATTTTTTTTAGATGACACATTATGTCTGAAATGCTTTAGGAGATAGTGGTGTATTCTTTCACAAAGCAATCCATCCATCCCTAAATGTATGATCACAAGTACAGACTGTCCTACACAAGAAACCCTCCACTGCCCATATTTGCATTTAAAGCACTAAATTAATTATTCCTACGTTATCAGTTCATGGCAGCATATAAACAACTGTACATCAGCAGGTTTCTTGAGAAAAAGAAAAAATATATGTACATATTTATATACATATATACATATATAGAGAGGGGTGAGAGAATAAGATATCAATCAAAAAAGGAATTCCTGTGGATATGCAGCATAACAGACTTGACATTCATAGATTTAATATTCATTGTTACCACTGTGTTTGAGAGTCACCCAGAAGACATTTTGTTAAGACAATGGCAAGGCTAGAGGCCAGAGCCAGAATAAATGCATGAGCCTAGCCTAACCAAGCATTTGCATTTCGAAGTTCAAAAGCAGTAACTCTAAAAAAGATTATTTTTAAAAAACTGAGTTTCTCTATGAAAAATGTCTCCCCAAACCCAAAGAAAGCCGAACTGCCAGTAGTGGTGTTGGAAGGGAAGAAAAATGTAACAACTAAGAAAGTGACAGCTCTTAACCAGAAAAAGAAGAGAATGGCAAATTTAGTAACAGCTTATAACTTACAAATGTGAACAATCTACCAAATGTTCTATACCAAAAAAACAAACAAAAAAATCATTAAACTGACTCAGTAAGTGCTCAACCTCAGCAAAACCTATTCATCAAATGAAATAAAACTTCCATTAATGTTGGAAAGAATATTAACTTGTAAAATAGGAGTATATATAAGAAACATATGAACTCTCAAAGGAAATACAATTCAGAGGAAGCAAGGATCCCACAAAAAGATCTCCGAATTTAAAAATTTGAGGATTTGCAAAGGTCTCAGAAAGTATCCCTTAGAAATGACAAGTCTTCTACAATGTATGATTTTCTTTATGGTTAGAAAATTGCAAAGGAGTTCTAAACATATTTTAAACCAACCAAATTATCTTTTGATAGGTATATAATCTCTAAAGAAGCAGTCTTCAAGAGGCAACACTTTTCATACTTAAAGCATTCATTTTATATGTATAAATTATGAACCTATAAATCTAAGGTGCTATGTAGATAAAGCCCAAACTTTTCCCAATCGATTTTAAGGCTATCCACAATCTGTTCCCAACTCACCTTCCTAGTTTTGTCTTCTACAATCCCTTCTCGCACATCCTGTGCTCCAACCGAAGCGGACAATCTGTTAGTCTTCTCCCGTGGCCTGAACTCTCTCAGGTCCATGCCGTGGCTTATGCTCTTCTCTTCTCCTTACTACCTCCCCTAAAATGCCCGTCATTTTCAAATTCTACCAATGTCTAATTTTAGCCTACTCAGCTCACAGTAATCCCTCCCTTCTCTGAAGCCCAAAAGCACTTTTTACTTTTCTATTAAAGAAAAAAACCTCTACACATAATATTGTCTTACCACTTTATGGCACTTATATTAATGTTCAGTCAGAAGTCAAGGAAATTAGCACTTTGGAGTACTTAATATATACCAGGCACTCTGCTAAATACGTATGTAATGAACCTCATTTAATTGGTACTATTACATGATTATTTTCCTGTCTCATTAAATTCTCCAACTGTTTATGGTTTATCTCATTTCTAACCAGACTTTAAGCCCCTTAAGGGCAGATTTCATTCATGCATTCAACAATTATTCATTAAGTGCCTCCCCCTTGACTTGTACTAGGATATAAGGACAATATAAATCTATTGAGGGCAATAGCTATATAAACAAATAGACAAAGCTCTTCTGTCCCAAAGTTCCTTACAATATTGTAGTTATTCAATGTTATTTGATTAAAAAGATATTTCAGGGCTGGCCCCGTGGCTTAGCGGTTAAGTGCACGCGCTCCACTGCTGGCGGCCCGGGTTCGGATCCCGGGCGTGCACCAACGCACCGCTTCTCCGGCCATGCTGAAGCCACGTCCCACATACAGCAACTAGAAGGATGTGCAGCTATGACATACAACTATCTACTGGGGCTCTGGGGGAAAAAATAAATAAATAAATAAATTTATAAAAAAAAAAAAAGATATTTCAATCACAGAAAATGGAGAAAAGACAATAATGCACAAACTAGTAATAAGCTAGAAATTGTTTTTCCATAGAGCTTTGAAAAAATTTTAAATTTTCAGTTCTTTCATCTACTACATCAGTCACTATGAAATTTGAATTACAGCTCCTACTACTAAAACAAAATAAGTAAAAAGTTTTGGTACTACATATGAAAATTATAAATATTAAATATTCAGACGAAAGAAAAGTGACAGATAATGGCAGACAGAAAATATACAAGAAATAATTTCTTTTTTTTTTTTTTTTTAAAGATTTTATTTATTTATTTTTCCCCAAAGCCCCAGTACATAGTTGTCTGTCATAGCTGCACATCCTTCTAGTTGCTGTATGTGGGACGCGGCCTCAGCATGGCTGGAGGAGTGGTGCCTCGGTGCGCACCCGGGATCCGAACCCCGGCCGCCGGCAGCGGAGCGCACGCACTTAACCACCAAGCCACGGGGCCGGCCCAAGAAATAATTTCTTAAAAAAAAAACTGATGATGCCTAATCCCTTGAATGAAGACATTTAAGCTTTTCTCTTCTTTTGTTTCATAGACAAAATCTTCCTGTTTGCTTATGTTCCTATTTTGTCTCTGAAAAGAGTATAAGCAACCAGTTGTCTAAAA